CCTTCACCGATGCGGGAGAAGACGGCCACTTTACGTCAGGCTTTGCAAAAGGCGCTGAGGCGAGGTGTGTGCTCTGCCAAAGATAGGAGGAAACCACCCGACAGGGAGTTTCACATTGTCCGGCTACCAAGTAGCAAGAAGCAACAGATAACAGAAAATGAAAGTTCTCAGTTAAATATTAATCATGCGAGCGGCCCAGGACCTTCTCACCCAGACGGTGCGCCGAGATGAATATAGGATGTTGCAATACTCTGCGAGCCAGTACCAGGAAATTAATTGTCCCGGTCTTCAGCCTGGGTTTCTGGATGCGACTAACGAGCTGCAGTATGGATATGTGCAAATAGTCCAGTCGGATGTTATACAAGTCCAGGATGGATTAACCTGGCGATCAAAGCGTTCGCGTCGTATATTTTCTATAGTGTTTATGTGCACCCAGTTGCAATCGCTTGAGGAGTTCGAGGGAATTTACTCATCGCTTAATAGATGGACGCGAGAGAACGAAGGCCTCTTATTATTCTGGGGACTTCAATGCATGGCGCCACGCCAGTGCGCAGAAAGAAGAACGAACCACGCGGGTATGGCTCTCCTGGAACAGGCCTTGACAACTTTGTGATGTCCGCCTCTGCAACCCACGGGGGCCAGGTCGACCTCCTAATGGAATGGTTCGCAGCTCGCGTTGACCTTAACTTTCGTCTGTAAAAGCCTTGCTAAGACGTATTTGTATAATGGGAGGTTAGTGGCACATTATACACATAGTGACCACCAAGCTATTGTGAATGAAGTTAAAGAGCAGGCATGTTGAGCTCACCTAAAGGGTAGAAGGAAAGCGTGTTTGGAACCACAGGATATTCCTTCAATTGCCATGATGGAGGCGCAACCCTGAAGATATGTGGCCCGTGACTCTAATATAGTTGTAGAAACCGTAATGAACTGGGTATTGGACGCTTGTGATGCGTCAATGACAAAAGCGTCCAAGGAGAGGAACGCCGTCCTCCGAGTGTACGGTGCCAGTGATCCAGTGTACTGGAAATGCCACAACACGTAGATTGCACAGCGCGCCTGGAGCCGCCCAAACTATGAATTCTCAAGAATCAACATCTCGGACGCCAGAAGAGCATCACAAAAAGCCATTAAAAGATTAGAAAAGTATCGTTGTGGAGAGAGATAGGGAGGAGGTGGATGCTGACCCTGCATAATCCCAGTACGGCTTTAGAAAAGCGAATCCACGTAGATGCAATTAAGGTAGTCATCCGACATCGCACGCAAGACCATTGAAGGCAAACGATGGAAGGCCGGTCCTATGAAGTATTTGTCTATAGTGACGCTTAGACGTGAAAAACGCCTTTAAAACACTGCCAAGGTTGGAGCCTCCATTCTTTCTGCCTACAACTCTTGGAGTTCCACGGGGTACATCTCGAACTTGTAAAAAGTACTTTTTAAGGAAAGAATCCTCCTAATGAAACTGGGGCTAGAGTACAATCTTATACGGTCACAGGCGGTGTCCCACATCGTTCGGTACTTGGTCCGATTTGTCGAACATTATGTATGACGCCTTGCTGAAGCTCGAGTTGCCGGAAGGCGCGAAGATACGATTGGATTCGCGGACGATGTTGCAATTTCCGTTGCGGCAAAATACCATTGAAGAAGTCACGCAGGTTGCCAACGAGGCTGTGGCGAGATCGGCCGTGGCTTACGTCCGGTAGGCTACAGATGCCGCCCATAAAAAACAGAGGGCGCTTGCTGTGACGGGCAGAAAATGTGAGAGAGAGTTATTTACTCTGTAATGTAGGAGGCTGCCAAAATATCCTTCGCAGCTGTCACTGAGGTATTTGGGAGTGCATATTGACGCGAGACTGCGCTTTGACGAGCACCTCGCAATTCTCGACTAAAGCGTCTCGGTATGCACCGCATTGGCACGCATTATGCCTAATGTAGGGTCCTGGGCAAAGAAGCCGTGGAGGGCTGCCTACTAGCGTAGTAACTTTACGCTAGTCAGTTACTAGTAGCGTAGCGTTCTTTTCTACCGCAGCCCCTATTTGGCTGAAGCCATGGGCATTATTCAGTCATACGCCCGCTGGCTAAAATCCGGGCATAGAAGGTCCGCCCTTGCGGGTTGCTCAGCGTTTCGCACCGTATCCTATGATTGCTGTGTGTGTGTTAGCAGATATCCTCCGAGTCGACCTCAATGGCGCAGGAGAGAGCTAGACTCTATTCGCGCAAGCGGGAGAGGGGATTCAAACTGCGAATACCATTACAAAAGAACGAAGGGGGGTGACAATGGACCAATTGGCCAACGACGATGCGGAGCAAAGTCATCAACTGGGCGATGGACATTCGGGTCATTCCCGACATGTGACGTGGATCAGAGGAACATGGGAATTAGATTTTTTATCCAACTCAGATGCTGACAGGGCTATCGATGTTACCGACGTATCAGCTCCGATTCCCCTTGGGAACATAGCTCCTCATGCCCCAAAGGTGGTTTCCCGGTGATTGAAGATGTAGAACACGTGTTCTCGTTCATTGTCCCACGCTTCGCCAGTGGAAAGGAAGGAACTTCACAGCACTCCTCCAAGAGGAAGTGACACCCCTGTATACCATTTCACTAGGATGGCTACTGACACAGAATATTGGAGTGCGGTAGCCACCTATGCGCAAAGGTTCCTGAGACGCTTCCGCCTCGAGGAGCATAACGAAGATGTCTCCGAATATTTCGGTGAAGTGCTAAAAGCCCATCCTCCTTCCTCGCATGCAATGCTGACGGCGTTTCCGCGGAAAGGAATAGGATGCGAAAGGGAGGGGTTTTTAGTGGGTAGCATAGGCTACGCTATGTATCCCACACGCTGCGGGTTGCGGGCCCCGCTGTGTCTTAGATTGTCCCCTGCCCCACGTAAAAAACAACACACACAACACGCACACACACTATATATTAGTATATATAATATATAAATTATATATATATATAATATAATATATATAATAATGTGTTGTATATGATGTATGTATTATATGTATATGTATATATATATATATATATATATATATATATATATGTATAATTATATTATTTATTTGTTTTTCAAAACTATCTTTTTTTTTAATTTCACATGTAATTGAAACGTAAGTGATAGCGTAAAGGAAGCTTAAAAAATGGTGCAGGTCTCAGTTTTGTTGAAATATGTGAATTTTCAAAAATTACAATGGTTCAAACCTTTTTCTGTGACCTACAACTACAGTGTTGAAGTAGAGGTTTTGCGTCTGAAAATCTCTGTTCTCTATAATTACATCTTTAAATAAGGACAGAATTCCTTTTACAATACAAATAGTTTTTGAGTAATTTTGCGTGAAAATTAGGAAATTTTAAAAACAAAAATTTGAAAAAAATGGTTCTAATTTTTTCTTTAGTTTTTTTTATGGATAGTGCTACATGCTCACAACATGACATAAATGTCATTTCAGTATATTCTTGAGATTTTTCAAAAATTACACAAATGTAATTATTTGTATATACTTATCACGTTAATTACAGGTATTTCTTTTATGTTACATTTACATTATGGGTATTTTTTTATACATTATTGAATTTATGAGTACAAGTGCTTCAGAAGATTTCTAATGAAGTTTCTTGAAAACGTTTTCAGTGAAATTTCAGTTAAAATTGCACATATTCAGTACCAAATAAAGTTCTCTAAAAAAACTGCTCCAGAATTTTTCTTTAAATTTTTGAACGGATAATGCTAAATATTATTAATATTTAGCATTCATTAATTATTAGTATAATTAATAATATTATTAATTATATTAATAATAATAATAATGAATTATATGACGTATTAATTACATGACATTTTGATGTTACCTTTTTATTTATCAAAAAATACACAAAGGTAATTTTTTTGGAATCTCTCTCATATCATTAATATTTACTCTATAGGCATAAATTATTGTATTTATGAAAACCTGTGCTTCAAATAATTTATTTTGAAATTTCTCAAAAACACAAAACTTTTCTGTGTGTGCGCTTTCAGAAACCTATCAATTGACATCTTTTTAAGAACTGCCCCAAATTTTTCAATGAAAATTTCCATACAGATCTAAGTTTTATTCTTCAGTAATACTTTTGGAGACATATTTCTGTTCTTCTATTAGAGGATCGAAAAATTGAGAAAACGTCAAAAAATTTTGTTTTGGGGCAGATTAGGTAGCAGCTGGGAAGAGGGTGGGGCATTATGGAATGCCAGCATATACTGCGAAGTCTCTGGCTCAGATTATAAAGAGATTAGGAAACTAACTAGTGCAAGAAAGTGTGTGCCATTCTGTAGCACCACTAGTTGAGAATTGGAAAGTTTTTATTTAATAGAATGTAATCTAACTGATAATTGCAGAATCCATCAAGTTAACTAGGATTTCAGCTCTGATGAGATATTGGATCTTTGGCGTTACCAAATGTGACCATGAGCATGGTTATAAAAGTTGGTGAGGGAAGGTTACTGTGAGAAGTAATTTTTAAATCAAAATATCGAAGCGTACTTCATTACTTGTTGCATATGTTGCTCTGTGGATTTGTGCTAACAATATTCACATACCCCTTCTTTGATAGGTTTCTCCAAAATAATATGAATCCCCTGCCAATTTTTTTCTAGATAGGAATTGTAGTGAGACGGGAACCAACTAATAGCAATTACAAATGCGTAATTCCAAGAAATAATTTTGACTTGGTAATTTGAAGATCTTCCATTCCATTTTGCAGACTGATTCCAACCCGTTTTCATTGAACTCAACTTTTATTGCTGCTTGCTAATAAGTTTTTGATTAAGTAACATTTCTGTTTCATAATGAAAATCTAAATAATTTATTATTGCAAAATGTATCAGGTATTATTTATGGTTATGTACTTTTTTCAAAAACCAACTTTTCAGATGTTCAAATGTTCAAAATTAAAAGGATAACATTACAAATGAGGACTCTTTCATATGCACTAAAAAAAATTACTTTTACAGAACTCGTTTACGGAATCGGAAGTCTCGTAACAGCTCAACAGATAGTCAAAGTGAAACAAAAAAAGAAGTGAAAAAGAATAATGAACCAATGTCAATTGATAGAGGTATGGTCAATAAATTAATTGAGTATTCATGAGTTTAGTTGCTAAAACTTAACTATATTTAGTTGCTATACTTTAACATTCATTTATTGTAGAATTGAAGAAAATGGAAATAGAGAAAAAAGGATCAACTGATGATTCTTCCAGTTATATCACTTTAAGTGATGACGATGAAGAAGGTATGAGTAGTTTTGAAGAAAATTTGAGTTTAAATGTATATAAATTGAAGCTAATTCTTGATTAAAATGACATAAATTAATCACTCTTCTTTTTTTCACTCTTCCTTAAAACAGATCAAAGAGAACGTGAACCTTCTCGATTTGCTGTCATGTCTGGTTCTGGTCCAAAAAAAGAAGCAGAGAGAAGGATTACTTATAAATCTGTTCGTGAATATTATGGAGATGATGAATATTGTTACATTATGGATGCTAAAAATGACGGAAACATTGGACGATATCTTAATGTAAGTTTCATAAAATTATACCAGAAAGAAGTGGTCCGTTACTGTTTTTGGTATATGTGAATTAAAACTATTTTATTTTTTGTGTTCTAGCATTCATGTACACCAAATGTGTTTGTTCAGAATGTTTTTGTGGATACACATGACCTGAGGTTTCCATGGGTGGCTTTCTTTGCCCTTACTTACATAAGTGCTGGCACAGAACTCACATGGGATTACAATTATGATGTTGGTAGTGTGCCTGGGAAGGTTCTGCATTGTTACTGTGGATCAAATGAGTGTCGTGGACGATTATTGTAATGTGTTATGGAAGTATTCAAAAATGCATTATATCAGTGTGGTGAATACATATTAACTTTAATTAAATAGGGTACAGAACAGAACATATGTTTGTCCATTTGAAGGACTTTTAAATGGTTAGGTTTCTAGAAATTGCAATATGATATATGTTGTTATTCCCTTCAATTGATAAATGTGTCATTTCAATTATTTATTATCTTTGTACAAATGGATAAATTTTCATTTTGAAGTAGTAATACGACTAACATAGAAATCTTTATGCAATTGGTTGTCTTGTATAGACAGACTTACTTTGATGGAAAATAATGATAAGAGTAATTGAATCATGCAGTGTAATTATACTTTTATTTTAAGTAGACTTGGAAGCACTGAAACAGAATTATTTTATTTTACCTATTCTAATTAAATTGCACAGTAGAAATGAAATTTTATCAAGCTTGTTTTTTTTCCACTTTGAAAAGAAAAGTTATTTTTCAACTTTCAAAACTTCAGATGTACTTGTCATATTTGAATGAAAATTTTGTTAGCTGCATGCAAAAATATGTATTTCATAATAAATGCTTTAAAATGTGATATCTTGGTAATGTTATGTAATTGTGTCATCTGCATTGCAGTCAAATTTAAACTGTGATTTTATTTTCATGTGGGCTTCATTCATGTTCTGCAACCCACTTTTCTTGAACTTCCAGGGTTCCTTTCCCTTTCATTTTTGTTAGTTCCTGATGAAGAGGAGTCAGATTGCTGGCATTGTCCTATACAGTGGCAACATTTCTTCAAGAATTGTCATATGCAGTTTTTTTCGCTGAGTTCCCAGGTAATGTTAGTATTTAACCCTAAAGTGTGGTATGCTGTACCTGGACAGGTTGGATTTTTACTTTCCATTCGCGGTAAGCCATCTCAGGACGGAAAGAACCTTTACCTGTTTTTCTTCTCATTTGCGGCGTGCGGTCTCCAGACGCTCGTTGCTTGGCAGTGCCGTGCACAGATAAGCAGTGTGTTATAGCGAGTTTTTGATTTCTTTTTGTGTGTATTAATACAAATATTTTCGATTGAAGTATTTCTATTTATTTGTGGATGTTTTTTTAAAGAAACAATTAATTTACAATACATTGTCTTCTATGTTCTACTTATCATATGCGACTGTCAGAAATAATATAAATAAAACAATAGAAATTGCCTTAAATTTAATACAGCCATTGCTAAATAAGGGCTACACTATGGCTGGAAATTCCAACAACTCCCCCTCATTAGCTGCAATGTTAAAAAACGGGAACAAATTGTGTAAGAACATTATGTTTGAACAGAAAAAATATTCTTAAAATATTGCGGGAAAAGAAATTGAAGAGAAGTGAGTACATCAGCCAACACTCAGGTCCCATTCCAATGTTGAAACAGATGGATATAAAAAGTCTGTGTCTTTGATAAGCACCTACCACAAGGATAAATTTAAAAGTCAGTACTAAGAGAAAAGAAGAAATTAAAAATCCCACATGCGTTCTTAGTTATAATAAATCTATGGGAGGGGTAGATCTGAAAGATCAGTACTTGTAAATATATATTATTGAAAGGAAGGAAATCAAGAAATGGAATATGAAATTGTTCAGAAGATAATCCAATGTCATTGTGTTGAATACATTTATTATTTGGAGAAAGAATTGAAATCTTTGAAATTTCGTATTGATCTGATCGAGCAATTGGTATCTGCTCATTCACATTTCAAAAGAGCAGTATGTGAACATTGTTTGGTAAGTGAATTAGATTGCTTGACAGGAATAGGTCAGGAACTTACTAGAAAGAATTCCACCCCAAGGTGACATTAAACAGAAACAACGCGTGGTATACATCGAGAGTGTACATTCAGGTGTCCAGATTGAAAGGCGGACTTTGCCCTGCCACTTGTTTTAAAAGCTATCATGTCGTATAAAATTATTAGTATTATCTATAAAGAAAATTAGTGTACCTTATTTTTAAGTATGTTCTACTATTAATAAACTTAAATGTAAATAAATGAAAGCGTTGTACAGTTATTTTATTTTCCTTTCCTCAGAATCTTTCTTATTTAATTATTATCATCATTAATCATATTATTGATGATGTGAAGCAATGCATTCTCCGTAAAGAGCACATTTTCAGGGCTGAAATCCTATAGAACTTTTGATGTGTCACATGTTTTAATTGCATGCATTTTGGAATTTGATTTTCTTTCATCCCACCATCGCATATAATAAAGATTCAAAAGAATGTAAATGGCCTGTCTTGTTCTGTTCATTTTCTATTAATGTTAATATTTTTGAGTTTGTAAATACCTATTTTTGATTCGATATCATAAGAGATGCCTTCATTTCCAAGAATACATGAATGTCATTTGGCATGGTAAAATTACTGACATTTCAATTCCTCCTTAAATTTCAAATGATGGCAACTTGTGATAAATTAACTACATCCATACATATCTGATGTTTTGTTGCACTGTATTGATTTACAGTAGTTTGAGAATTAACATTATAAATTATCATTTTTTAATGAACAAACTGATCAACAATATAATAGTGGTCTTATTTTCTGATAAAATCAATTAATCTTGGGTTTTTAAAAGTTCCACATTGCAAATATGACATGGAGACTATGGAAATATCTAATGACAAAGAAACTGCAGCAGATAAATGAGAATATTTCATCCCAAATGGAGGAGCAGGAAGGGAAAAGGTTCAAAAGGTTAACACTTTTGTCTATTGTACTGAAAAGAATAATAAATTTATTACTAATGAAGATTTGTATAAATTTAGCAGTCCAGACACTTCACAAAAATGAAAAAAAATATATAAATCACTTTAGATATGCTTTTGTCAACAAACAACTTTTTTCTATCATACAACTTGAAATAGCAACAACATTTCTGTTCTTCATCCAGTCAAATAGGGCGGCAGCAAGACATCCCAGGAACTACATAGGGATAATTCACATTTTTTTGTTCTACAAATAGGACAGACCAATGCTCGGAAGCTGGCAGTATAAATTGTAACAAAATTAATCACTAAATGTGATGTACTTTAATTCCTTAATCCTCAAAACAAAAAAACTACAAGAGATTTGAAGAGCATCTTGGGTTTCAACATTTTGACTACAAAAGCTTGTATCTCAACACAATTTTAGGTACTATTCTTCAAAATACAATCTCATAAATTGAGTATATTTTCTTCACGATAGTCTGAAAAAGATTGGCCAGTCCCACATTACAAAATACAGATACTATGAACAACTGCTGCCCTCTACTCAGTATAATAAATATCAGAAATACAGCTCTGTGAAATCCCAAAAAGCACCCTAAACAAAAATCCAGGACTACAAAGAACAAAAATGTCTCCATATATAAAAGTGAAAAACAAGTTTATTTCTAGATGAGAAATTATAGAAAGAAAGCCTTGCAAACTCTGTATTACAATTATTATATCTAGAAAATTCTGTGTGGTGATTTTATCATGTAAAACATAAACCAGAAATAACATAACATTTCTAATAACCACATACCACAACCACTGCCAAGCTATCATTTACTGGGCTTCAGTGGCCGTGTGAAGGCACTGTGCACCATAGAACTTACTTGTTGCTCCTGTTACACTTATGACAATATTTTCAACAAAATCCACCAGTTACTACAATTTTTTATATTTGACAACAGATATAAATATGATATTCAGTTTACTGAAAACTATCTGAAATACATGTTGACAAAAATTGGTTTCTCAGAACATTCATCTATTATGAAATGATCTATAAATGCACCTAAATGTCTGAGTTTCCTTCAAAGCTCATTAAGAAATACTGAACGCTATTCTCAATTTAAGGAGCATTTGTTAAAGAATATGTTTAAGTGGTAAATATCTCACACATTTCCCCTATTGATAGCTCCCATAATTAAAGCAACCAGATATGTAAGTTCTGACATTCTGTGACTAGATGTCTTCCATACGTAATAATTGTCCTTATATAACTAATGAGCTATACAAGAAACCAATTAATCCAAATGTTTAAGCATTTTCATCCAGAAACATCTAGAACTTAATATACTTTTTCCTTCCTTACCGAAATAAAATGTACCTAGCACATATCATAAATATGTAAAATTTTATTTGTTTAATTTATAATTTAGAAATATATTTAATAATATTATGAATAACATAGCCTCTAATAAACATTTCAATATTTGAAGAAAAAGAAGACTTCTTTCAAATAAAAGATCCCTCGCAGAACAATTACTGTTTATGAAAATACATTTCAGGATTCTCAAACAGAAAATAAATATTCAGTTATGATACATCATATGAAAAGCATCTAAACATACAAGTTTTGTGTAGCTCAGCACTGCTCCATTAAAAGCAATGCATTTGAAATTTAAGTCAAAAGTCCAACCACATTTGGGCCACTTTCATGACAAAACTTATTAGTATTCTGTAATTGCATATTATGAGAACAAGAACTAGTGAATACTGTATAATACTCATTTTATCATACAAGTTCAATGCAAGCTTGGTAAGAACAGCAGCATCAAGAACAAAATAATAAACCATCTGTACAAAGGCTTAGTCTAAAACCACATTTAGTCAATATAAAGCAACAGGTTTTTATATATATAAATTAAAAACTACAGGAATTTCCCATATTTATTAAATATTTAGAGTTCTGAGTTAACCGTACTTCATGCTTAAGCTTCTCCATAGTATATCCAGTTTTATCAGAGAATCAGCAAGAGGATGTTGAATTTGCTTCTCTCCCTTTCTCTCTGTAGTTTGCACAATTATGTTAGGCCTGATACAGGGCTACTAGGATAAGAAGTCTAGCATAGGGAGAAACACAAGGCCTAATGTAGCAGAAAGTCACTCAATGTCTAGCCTTGATGGAGCACTAGGAAGTTACTTTCTGAATTGCAGAGAGACAGGTGAAACAAAATTGCCAGTAATGTCACATGATGTTGAGCAGTATAAAGACATGCACCACACAATCAGAGAAGAAAAAAAAGAAAAGAAAAACAACAACTTAGGAGCTCAAAAATAGTAATAAAATACAAAAATGAAAATAAATATAATAAAAACTTAATTATTCACCACAAAAGGTCAGTAATATGTCACTAATAAATAGCATTTTCATATTTTCAAAATAAGAAAAGCATTTTCACAAAGCCTCATAAATAATGAAGGCACTTCTTCAACACAAGGATAATGTTGATCGCAGTCACAAGTAAAACATAATGTATGCACATATATGGCTTGATAACCTATACCTCAACCTTCGTCTTCAATAGTCAAATTCTTATTATTATTCTATTATTAGAAAATTGTTTTATTCAGATGCATATCTTTGATAAATCAGTGACTCTACTGACAATATTCTAAAATATTTTTCTTCCCCACAAGAAAGCATAAAGACAAATTAATAACAAGGCCAAAATGGCCACAAAGTCTTGTCAATCACACTAAATCTCATTTCCTCAAAAGCTGCTTTATTTCTTCTTTTTCTGCAGCATCTACATAACTTGTTCCATCTGGTGCACTTCCATCTTTTGAAGCCCCCTAAAATTTGAAAATACTGATTAATAAATGTCCTGGAAGGAGGAGACAAACTGAATTTTCAGGCATCACATTGTCTTCCTTTTTGAAAACTGCTTTGGGAACAATTATATGTTTTTAATATTTATTACACAATATCAGTTGGTGTTATAAAAAACAAAGAAATAACTGCATTAATTGTCAATGGCTCTCAAATCAAAAGGGGAGACAATCCTATAGTATTTCAATAACACTTATGAGTTTATGCCCATTATTATGCCATATATTTTTTTGGCACCTAGAGAATTGTATAAACATCATTGGTCATAACATGTTATTGAAATGATTGGAACTTAAATTTTATCTGCCTACAGGTTCAAGAAAAAAACTGGAATATCCCATAAAAACATGACACTCATACTAACTTACTTGTTCAAGAAGTAACTTCACACAATCTGTATGTCCTTCCCATACAGCAGCAAGCAATGCACTTATTCCATGTTTATCTTTTGCCTTAAACCATAAAAAAAAACCAAAAAAAAAAACAACAATGAACTGATGTATTAGATCAGTCTAGTAGGAAAACAGTATAAAAGAATAATTTGTGAACTGATTTTGTTTAGTCATAAGCTATAAATCTTTTTGAGTATTAAATACCAATATATGTCATACAAAAATAAGTTGATAAACTTATATTTAAATTGACAGACTCAAAATAACAAATTTTGAATCAAGCCTGCATTCAATAAACGTCTAGGATAATTAGTGAAACATTTGAATATCCCATCCCCACTAATTAAATAGTCATATCAGTCACAACTTTTAACACTCACATTCACATCAGCACCCTTAGACACCAAATATTTAATCACATCCCCTTGGCCGTAATCTGCAGCGTAGTGAATGGGAGGTCTTCCATCGATTTCTTTGTTCACATCAATTTCCTGAAATCCAAGATTACAATTACCATATTATTTTTTGGTTTGTCAGATTCCACTCACCACTGTGCATGGAACTGATTTAACCAAACGTCTTCATTTTACCTTTCTTTCCACGATATCTCTCACTTGCTCCAAATCACCATTTTTAATTCCCCATACAAATTCACTCATGTTTGAAAATTAAAAACAAATTAATGACAAAATACACAATAAATAACGATAAAACCTTAATTATCTCGTGACAGTCGACCGGTCACCGTTGCTCATTTACAAGTGAACAACAGGTTAGCCAACATCAGCAATGGTATTCCATTTTTATCTTGGCAACTCTGCTTAATTGTTGTTTTTGTCCAGAATAACGTTTGGCGGGTTTGCCTGTGTTGGATGGCTGGGAAGTTTTTCGTAGAGAGTAGTAATTTTTTGTATTGTGGGCTTGTCGGCTTGTCGAGTCCCTTCTTGAGTAAAAAATGAACTTTCTGCATTTATATTGTTTTTCTTTCTGCAATTGAAAACATGCTATTCAACTATTAGAACATAAAGGTCATTAAGTATATCAGGTAACATGGAAAGATCTGAATTCACAAGATTTGTATTCCTTCATTGGGTGTATTGATTTTAGCTAGTTTTCAAACTACACAACGAATCAATGAAGTTTATAGGATGTCGAAAAAGGTAGAAGCATTTTTCGTGCATCAATGCCTTTAGAAAATCTCCAAAGATATCTTAAGAATTGTTAGATTAGATGATAAGATTACACGTAATAAAAGAAGAATTTGGGATACATTTGGTGTCATTAAAGATCATGGGAACAGGGTTGTCCTATGAATTGAACCGCAGTTCTAATATTTTTTGTATTGTTAACAAAATAGTAACTCACCCCCGGCTCTATTCCTGCTACAAAGTTATACAATAGTAAAAGGAGAGCTCAACAAAAAGTGCACATAATGAGGCTACATTTAGTAGTACGTCCAGAGCAATACTGGGCCATCTCAGTTCTCAGCATTTGCTCAATGGAAGAGACGCATCTACCGTATGGCAGACATGACACCATGAACGTCACTCAAGAATTAACAGTACTCAGTGGAGTATTATCACACAGGCCTAATAGGCATAGGCCTTTGGTGGCGAATTTGTAGTGGCGGCAAATTTTTAGCGCATCAACTTCTGGATGGGATATTTTACAAAAATTACTGCAAAAATAATCAATTTCAACTACGCTGAAAAACCTGCTACGCGATGGCCTGCTCGGGATGCCGCATGCAAAACTTTGATTATTTGCTCGGCAAATATTGTAGATGCATTCAATTGTATAGAAACAGATTTATCCCAAAAGTCTTTAACTCGTTCTGAAGCTAAAGGTATCAAATCTAATCTCGAACGTTTCGAAACTCCTTTTATGACAGTATTCTGGGGCTTCATCTTAGACCGATTAAATTCTACCAAGAAAAGTTACAAGAAATCATCTGCGGCTTCAGTAAAAAATTAAATACATGATTTTCTCATTGTTCTGTTTCAATCTAATGGAAACATTTTCCATTATTTAGAAAATAAATCAAAAGAACTGACATATACTTCTGAGTCAATGAATGTAAAACGAAATGAACGAAAATAAGAAAGTTGCACTACGGAGAATCGTAAGACTATGAAACAGAGTTTAAAGTTAAAAACTACTTACACGTTAACGTCTTTTTAGTTATTGTTGGCTAAAGATAATCGTTGAATTGAAAAAAAGATGCAACGAATAATTGAATATCAATGACAAATTCAAGGCTATTATCCAAATTGATACGCTGTCCATGGTTGATTTACAAACAGATGCACATTTGCAATTATAGTTTCACGAAGATATTGAGAAACTATTGTTAGCGAATTATTTATTTTGAAATGTCATTTAACAACACTCAATCCAGAAATCAAGCCAATTAATCTCATTTCACAAAAAAATGGTTACTTGAAGAACAATTACAAAATGTCTACTCAAATATTCTATATTTGAATATAGAATATAGAATATAGAATATATATGTCAAATATTCGTATGTCTTCGTATGTTTTTATTTTGTTATTGTGTTAATGAATTCTGGTTCCAATTGCTCAACGGAACGCTTATTTTATTGCTTAAAAATAATACAAAATTACTTAAGATCGACAATGTATGAAGGAGGACGTAATTCATTTGTCATTCTTTGTATTGAAAGGATTTTTCTGGAACAAATAGTTTTGCAGAATTTTTAATGAATTCTCTCGACAAAAAGCTTATAAACAGTTTGTATCTTGATAAAGATTTTCAGATTGTAATCGTATTTGAATAAATGCCTCTATTTGATTATCAATAATATTTCTTATCATATTTCATTCATATTTCTTATCGATATATCATATCGCTAGAAAGCAAAGAGAACGTTTTGTAATGCTGCGCGAAAAAACGGCGAATTTTCGGCAGAAAACTCTTATTACAGGGCCCTGGAAACAATATAGATAAATCCAGCTGCTAAATTTAGAAGAAAAAAATCCTCTAATTCGTGATTTAGCCAGAATCCATGTTTTGTGTGTCATTGATACTGGAAAATCGAATGACGGCGAAATGTCTGTCCGTCCGTCCGTCTGTGAAAAACGTTCAGCCGATTTTTTCCAAATTCGATATTCCTCAATCGATCTGGCTGAGGTCGCTACCCTTTGAAACCATTATTTCAATTTTTGGAGGTACTTTACATGAAGTCCCTGGAAAATTTTCCAAATTTTCAAAAAATGGATCCATAGTTTTTTATTAAATTTTGATGTTGGTCAGTGTACAAGAGATTGGTGCAGGTCTCGTTGGTGGCAGGTTCGTTAAAAACCCTGATTTTTTGAAAATTTCTAAAGTTCAAAGGTTTAAAGTCATCCTGCAACTAAAATATTAAAGATAAGAACATTTTCCCCTAAATTAAATCTGTGTTTTAAAGATATATTTTGAAATAAAGTCATGAACAATTTTTCGAAAATTTGAATACTTTTCGCGTTATTTTGCGTAAAAGGGCAAAAAAGTACGTGGAGTTTTAGCACCACTAGTTATTTAATGTATGCAAAATTTGGAAAATAATAATTGTGCTAGGACGGCAATATTTTGTTGGCCTACGGACGGAAAGAATTGTTAATCCGCCCCTGACAGTATTCCCGCAGAAAACTAATAACAACTCTAATTTGAAGTATCCTGACAATGTCGTAAATTCTAGGCTTGTCATGGGTGCCTGATTAGTGGATCAGGGAAACTGGACAGAAACCTGATCGAGATGGGTGTTTATGAGTACGTACATGCTCTACCACCAGAATAAAAACTAACCTTTGGCCTCTCACCCTTTTACATTATTAGCCCCTACAATGCCTACGTGCTATTGCGTATAAGTGGTCAACAACTTGGTTTCAAATAATTATCGTAATTATTTGAATCCCAGTTCAGTCGACGATTATTTTTAAAGAATTTAGTATTAGTTAGAGATCATATAAAAACGAAGCTTTCTTCCAAGAACTACCAACGGAATAGTTCCAAAAGTACAAATGCTACAAAAGGAATATTTCAAAAAGTAAAATCTCCGAATCCAAATATCAAGAGTCCTTAATAATCATCTGGCGAGACACGAGGCGAGAAAGTGAAGCAGATGTTTTCTCTGAACAGAAACTGACAATAAGTAATCTATGTATGTAGCGGTTTTTCACAGCCTTGGCTGTCTTCCGCATCCCAATTTCCATGCCTCTTTATCCCATAGGTTTTTTTCTTTCATTTCTATTTTTGCCATGGCTTCAGTTATTGCCATGTTCCTTGTCCTCGGTCTTCTCCTGTGTCTTCTTCGATTGGATATCCATTTCCTAACTTTTTCTGGCAATCTATCCGATTTCAACCTCATATGCCCATACCATTTTAGCTGTTTCATTTCGATCGTCATATTCAAGGTTGTTTACACTTTCATTTTATTTATTTTGTCTAATAGAGAAAGTTTACATCTTTGTCAGACCATCATTTCTGTTGCTTCAAGTTTGTCTTTCATATTTTTTTGTTTGTGTCTAGACTGTAGCCCCATAGAGTATTGCACTATCTATGAAGGAGCTATATATGCCGTCCTTTGTCTTCATTGAAATAATCCAGTTCCACAGCACAATTCAACTATCTTGTGGCTAGTTTCCCTCTTACATTTTTTCACATCATGTTCGTCTGTACTACCTGCTGTAAGTATGAGTCCCAAATATTTATATTGTGTATTATTTTTTCCTATACTAGTCTCTAAATCATGGGGCATACCCCTCACCACCATATATTCAGTTTTTGTACATTTATTTCCAATTCCCATTTTCCATACTCTTCTACTAATTTTTGAACATATAAGTTACACCATCTTCATTTTCAGCCATTGTCACCCGGTCGTTTGCAAATAGTAGACTAAACACTGTTTCACACCCATGCTTCTGCACTTTCTTTTCTAAATGGAAAAGATCGCTTTTCCAAATGGAAAATAATGTTCTTTTAGGTCTTTATCAATGTGTATCTTAAACAGGGTTGAAGATATGCAGCAGCCTCGCCTTAATCCTTTATTTACTGGGAAGTTGACTATTACTTGACTTTTGAAGTTTTTATGAAGTTGTTTATCTGCAATCATGTATGTTGTTGGTATTCCCTTTTCTTCCATTGCCCACAATACGTCTTTTATTGGTACAGTTTCATAAGCCTTTTTGAGATCTATAAAAATTAAGTGTTCGTGTGCGGCGATCTTAAAAAAAGAATAGTAGTAATACAAAAAAACAAAACAAACAAAAAAAAACGCGGGCGCGCCTTGCACAAGCGCGTTTGTAATAGCGGAAACATGTCTCAGGTCCTCAGGCAGGGTGCGAGGTTTTGTATATAACGGGCCTGCCATCGCCAGGACAGTTCAGTGAGTAACGAGACCACACAGTTCCAGGCAGTGGAGAGTTCGATAGCCCACGCCCTCCTTGGGAAAAGAGACGGAACCCGGACAGCACAACGAGTCGTCTGGAAAAAAAAGATGCGAGATCGCCCATCGACGAGGCGACGCAACTTCTGGGAGTTGTGGGCCAAGGGAGGCCCACACACCCACCGAGTCAGGAAGCACTCGACTACTTCGTGGGAGTGGGAGAGTCGCCCACCCACACCGAAAAACGGACCAACTGGGGCGGTGGCCCTTGTAACAACTGCCGGAGGTGACGGCCGAGCAAAGAAAGCTGTTGACCGGGACCTTTTATTTAATTTTCTGCTTGTTTGTTTAGTTAGTTGGTCGGTCGGTCGGTCAATCCATATCTCTAAATGACATGTTGAAATTTTTTTGAAACATCCAGTGTCTCGTTCATTTATTGTTATTGTTATTGTTATTGTCATCGTGATCGTCAACTTGATCGCCATCGCC